CGAGGCCTACCTCAACTATACGGCGATGCTTCCTTTCGGCCGCACCGTTTTGTTGATGTGCATGGGGACACGACACTCGGTGAGTAATTCCTACTCGTTGGAAGGAGTTTAATTTCTCATACTCTGCTCCCCAATCAGACTGAATAGATTTGATCTTGCAGCCAAATTTTCTTTCTACAAGCTGCTGGAAGTCTTGAAAGATTTGAAACACATCATTGTCTCGAGCTAATTTATGAACTGAAACTACAAATAGTATTTTTCCTTTAAAAAAACAAAACATGTTGCCATCGAGACGTCAACACGACACGACTGTTACCCTCCTGGGCCTGTGGGGGCTCAGCTCACTCGGGACGCCGTCCCCGCGTCACGCCCCTCGTCAGCGGACTGGACGCCGTGCCGATCCGCATCAACCCCCACGTCGAGGAACCAATTGAAAATCACCGTCACCGACGTCGCGTTCGCGTCGTGCGGGGCAGCTGGTCGGCGGGGGCAGGGAGCGGAGCGACAGTGTGCTACCTCCTCCGGTATGCAGAAATTCAGCATGTGCGCTAGCTTAGGCGCTCGCTGCATCCAGTATGTTTGGAACTGGTTCGGTTACTTTATCTCACAAGGCTTCACAGTTCAAACTCGTGTGCGCATAAAAATATCTGCATCCTCTTGATGTCATTGTGACGCAAAGTTCGCAGCAGCTGGAAGAGTCTTGGATGATTCTTCCATTTCAAATCCGAAGGTTGGCAGCAGTTGAGATCAGGTGAAATGTTGCAAAATCTGCTTTCGGAGAGCAAAAATAAGCCAACACACAGAGAAAGGAACGGTAAGACGAGAGTTAAGTCAGCGATTGTGAGTTATATATGATAGGATGGTGCATAGTGGCACATTTATACTTCTTCTCGGTTGCTAAGTCCTATCCTCCATTTTGGTTTACTTGACGCCGCATCTTTTTTTTCCTCGAAATTCTGATCGTGCGTCTTTTCTCTGCACAAACTTTTTCATTACTTGAAAACTCATATTATATGATTTGCTTCGAAAAATACTTCATAAGTGTTATTTGGAGTTTTATCAACAATTTGCTTGTGTAGGTGAGGACATGGTATTTTCGGAGTCCTTTTACGAGGAATTACAAAAGAATTTTTTTTTCAAAAAATGTGAATTAGAAGAGTTGGTCGACGAAAATATGAATCGGAAACTCAATCTTGGTATCCATAAGAACAATACATTCTTGTTACCACGAGATGTATTGGCCGCTACATATTATTTGATTATTTTTGAACTATATGAAAATATGTTGTAGAGGAAAAAAACATATGATCAAAATTGCTACAACAATTTATCGGTAAAAGCCATCACTCCCCCATCTCAAAGCGAGAAAAAGAAGAAGAGGAGAATCACTCTCCAGTCCCCATCACCCATCAGTACATGTCCACGTCCGCCTCTGCTTCGGTCGTGCATCTTAGGTGCAGGCGGGCCATGCCTAGATGCCCTCCCCTGCAACACCACTGTCAAGCAGCGAGCGGCTTTCCCCATCCCCACACACCACCACCATCGTTCCCCAGTATGGCAGTATCTATTGGAACCAGCTGTTCCTTTGCCGCGGACAGCCGCCGCCGTTCGTCTTCTCCGCGTATCGCATCTCAGGCATACCTATAAATACCACCTCCCAAAAAACCACACGCTCCACACAGCACTCAAGCTCCTCAAGCTCAAGACAACGGAGCAGCTTCACTCCACTCTCAACACCGACCTCAAGCAGCCACCAGCACTTTAGCAGCAGCAGCAGCAGGTAGCCATGGACATGGGCCGCCTCGAGCTCTCGCCATCCTCCTCCTCCTCCACCTCGGCGTCGTCCTCCTCGTCGGACCACAACAAGAAGGCGGTCTGGTCGCCGTCGTCCTCGTCCTCCCCGCAGCCCGCCAAGAAGCGCCCCGCGGGGCGCACCAAGTTCCGCGAGACGCGGCACCCGGTGTTCCGCGGCGTGCGCCGCCGGGGCGCCGCGGGCCGGTGGGTCTGCGAGGTGCGCGTCCCGGGGAACCGGGGCGCGCGGCTGTGGCTTGGCACCTACGTCGCCGCCGCGATGCTCGCCCTGGGCCGCGGCCGATCGGGGGCGGGCTGCCTCAACTTCCTGGACTCCGCGCGGCTGCTCGACGTGCCGCCTCCGTCCGCGCTCTCGGCCTGGACGACGCCCGCCGCGCCGCCCTCGAGGCCGTCGCGTACTTCCAGCGCCGATTCGAGGCCTCCGACAGCGGCGCCGCTGTCGACGAGGTGACATCGAGCGTGTCGGCTCCGCTGCCATTGCCGGACATTGTTTCCGCTCGGCGGCGACGTCGCTTGAGCAAGTACCTGTGAAGGCTGACGAGCCGGCGGCACTGGACGTCGAAGCGTTCGAGCCCGACTGGTTCGGCGACATGGACTTGGACGCGTACTACGCCAGCCTCGCGGAGGGGCTGCTCATGGAGCCGCCGCCGGCGGCATCCGCCTGGGAACATGGCGACTTCGGCGACGGCGGAGCGGACGTCGCGCTCTGGAGCTACTAGCAACTTAACAATAAGCTTTGACGATCCCCAACTGATTGTACCCTGTTATGACTCTGTAACAAAATTAACTTCAACGGTTCAAAATTTTCGTGTCAAACTTTTCGGTCTCTGTTCTTGTCTTTTGAGCATCGACACCTCGAGGTTCGTCCATGCAGTTTTTAGCCATAAACAGATTTTAAAGAGAGAGAGAACAGGAAAGCAACACATGCCTCAAAGAGTCCTTGCAAGAAAGGGCATCCGTTCATTTGCGAGTTTTGCGACTGTAACTTTGTGAATTTGTGATGGTCCCATAGACCAAGACACGAGCAAATAGTGGAGGCAACTTTCACGTGCTGGTGATCCGGTCCCAGTGACTGATCCAGAAGATGTGGCCATTCCACTTCGGACCCAGTCCGGTCATTCAACCTGCTCTGCTGGCTTAAGCCACTCGTTGAATCTTCTTTCCTTCTTGCAGTCAAAATCCTTCCAGTGAGTTAGGCCGCGTTTAGATGCCAAAAATTTTGGCCTCAGCCAAAATCTGACAGCAGGTTTTTGGCCAAAAACCTGAGATCCAAAAATTTTTGGGTTTGCTGTTTAGTTGCCAAAATTTTTTGGCTGACATTCCCAAAACCCAGCAGCTGCACCATTAACAATTGCATGCATGCAGCCAATGCATGCTGACACATGCATGCAGCCAATGCATGCTGAAGCTTCAAATGCATGCATGATGTTGTCTCTCATGCAACAGCATGCATGTTTGATCCAAATGACACAACAGATGTAATTAACAATTAATCATGCATGATTCATCCCCAAAAACTGTCTTGACGCAACTATACATATGCAAGACACATACACATGACCTCAAACACACAAAACTGTCAAGAACGGTTTAGCAAAGCATAAGCAATCGAATCACGAAATTCATTCATCGACAGACTCATCCTCAACTTCCTCGGGTCAGCCGATTCTCGACGCTTCTCATGGCACATAGTTATCATCACGATCACACCTTGCAAAGTGTCTATCCCCTATGCCACTTATCCTAATGAAATTATGTAGAGCACAACATGCAACTATGATTTGGCTTTGTTTATGGGGTGCATAAGAAGGGATCTGATGCAAGATGCGCCATCTCATTTTCAAAACTCCAAATGACCTTTCAATGACATTCCGAAGACATGAATGTGCATAATTGAAGGTCTCCTCTTTACCTTGGGGTTCTAGGGCATCTCGATACTCCTGCAGATGGTACTTAGTTCCCTTGTAAGGAGTAAGGTAACCTAGCCGGTTAGGGTACCCGAAGTCCACAAGATAATATTTCTCTACATGAGCAAAAAAATATTTTACATTTATGTAGTTGAACAACAAGGACCCAAATGTGCTATCTGATAGGTACTACCTGCAGGTGGATGTGGAAAGACATGGCTGCATGTTGTTGTTGCATCATTGAATACTCTCATGTCATGTACAGACCCCGGCCAACCAGCAAGAACAAATGTAAATCTCATGTCAAAGTCACAGACAGCCATGACATTTTGTGTAGTCATGCCCTTGCGGCACAAGTGTTGCACAAACTTATCATTGGGCACCACACAAGGTACATGAGTCCCATCTATACGCCCTATGCAGTCCTTGAAGTAGGGATAGAACCTAGGGTTTCTCAGTCTAGGATGCATTGTTCTAAATTGTGGGTCGACAGGCTTAATAATGTCAGCAGCAAGCTTCACCATACACTTCAAAACTTTGTTTAACATGTTGGAGACAGTCTCTAGTGACCTCTCAAATCTATCCTCAGCTTGCCTAAAAGATTGTGGTGCCCCAAACATCCAAAGAAACATCCCTAGAGCCTCAACCGAGGTGGACTTAGCACTAGATTTCAGGCCATATGATTGTACTAAAAGATCATGTAGTGTATGGAACATAGGTGGGCTCATTCTAAACATGCTAAAACAGGCCTTGCTATCCCCAAGCTTCCTCTGTACCCATTCCAAACCAATCATGGCAGGTTGCCTATACTCAGCCCTATTCAAATGCTTGTCAATGTGCAGGGCATACTGGTACATACCATAGATAAAAGCATCATCATCTTCAGCATCCTCTAACTCAGCCATCATCATCTCTTGGAAAACATCCCAAGGGTCTACACAATGGGTTGCTGCTGCTGATACAACATCAACCTGTCCAAACAAACAAGGACTAAAGTCAGTCATGAATCACATTACAATTCATGTCATGCATGACTACGTTCACTGACATTTGCCATTCCCTCTCACCCATGCATCACATAGTTGAAATGGTCACCATACTTGAAGTTCACCAAACATTACTACATTTAAGTTGTTGAAATAAGAAACATCACAAACACACTTGAAACACACATTCATGCAGTACAGACTTAGTTCATATGACATAGGACATGGCCGACATTGTTTGAGGACACCATTACGACATGAACTTCAATTCATAGACGAAATAAGATAAGATGGTCTATGGGTCGACCGGCGCAGCTTGCTCGATGATGATCATCCTTTCTTCAGGGCCGTTGGCAAGGAAGAAGTCCATATCACTTTCATTGTGGATGATCTTGTACAGGCCCCTGAACAATGTTGGAGTCTGTGCACTTATACCCATCTCCCTTGCTATCTGGGTGACCCTGTCTATCTTCTCGCTAAGGGCCGACCGTGAATTGTGGTCCTCTTGCTTCCTGTGCTCAAACATGCTCTCCATCAGGCAGAGCCTACGGTTGGCAATTTCATTGTGTGTCCTCATGTTGTTGTCCATTGCCCTCAGTGCTGGGCTCTTGGACCTCTTGCGTGGGCTGGATGCAGTGGTGCTTGTGCTGCTGGCCCTCTTGTTGCCAATGCTCAGTGGGGTCAGTTGGTCTTCCATTTCATCTACTGCCTCTTCATCCGAGCTTCCACCATCCAAATCAATAGTACCACTTTCACCAGCAACAAAAGATGTGGAGCCATCTACTGTGTTTCCAGTAAACATTTTGTCCATTTGATCTAAGTACTCAGGCAAACCTTTCCTGAACTTCATCAAATCAGATTGCCCCTGCAATATGAAATCCTTTGTTATACAATGTTTTACTTAGTAAGTGCTGAAACTCAGAAGAGATAGATAGATCATTTACGTTGGTATTTGCTTTCCACCATGCATCAGTGGCCTCAACAGTTCCATCGTCGCTACGGCCTAAGCCAGAGGCGTAGCGGAGCTTGTTATAGAATGCCCATTGAGCCTTGAGCTACCTTAGCCTACCAGCAATCTGCTCCCTGTCATGGACCAAACCTGTTGCTGCTTGGTACCTCCTTATGAGGTCCCTCCACCCAGTCTTGCTCATGACTCCCTTGGTACAATTGCCAATGGCAATTTCATGGCACCATATGTCACAGAACTTCTTAGTGTTCGGTATAGTCCAGTTGGCCTTGTGTTTCATAGCCTAAACGATGCTTGTTTCAGTTCACGACATGTACAGAGATTAAACCATTTGGTAAACACTTAAGCTAGGTTAATCAATATCTACAACTGTTGTAGCTTAAATTTGTATCACAGAACACTCATAGCAAGAGCAACTAAATAATACATATAACACCCTAGACACATGCATGTAACTCAGCAGATCTACTACGAAATAGAAGATCAAGGAGAAAGGGAGTGGAATTTGTACCGGGACTCGCGGGGCGTGAGTGTTGTCGTCCTGATTGAAGTTGTCATCAAGAATGGCTGGCCCCGGCCCGCGTACACGCGCACTGCGGCCCCTGCGACGGCCACCTGCGCCTCCCCATGGAGGAGACAGAGGAGGGACGAAGCCGCCTCCAACGGATGTTCCACCCATGCCGCCTCCAACGGATGTTCCTCCGCCGGCGATGGCAGTGTTCGACCCGAGGTTGCGTGCACTGTTGCGGGAAGTCACGCGGATGGGGGTGGGAGCCATGGGGGGGACCTCGTTGTCCCCCCGAATGTAGCCCACGTAGGCCTGCATCTGCGGCCAGTCCTCGCTGGCGTTGAGATCCAGCGACTCCAACCCCAGCCGGGACTGGTTGAATCTGCTTGAACCTGAGAAGGTTTGCGCCGCGTCGGGGAAGAGGCCGCTACCGCCGGCATGGCCCCAGGGATTACCGGGCGCCAGGAAATCCCTGGTGCGCGCGTCGTTGCCGTGGCCGGCGCCGTCGATGCCATGGTCGCCGTTGTAGCCGGTGCCGTTCATGTCGTCGCCGTCGTGTCCTTCCATCACCGAACGCGCGAAGGTGATCCTTGATCTGGACTCCGACGGGGTGGATCTACTGGTGTAGCTCGTGGATCTGCGCGGCGGCGTTGGAATGGTGGGAGGGAGTGACCGGCGGGGTGGGGCTAGGGTTCGAGAGTGGATGAGAGTGAGGGATAGAGGGGCAGTGTCGGGCGAGCGTGATGAATGGATAAGGGGTGGGTGCGGGGTACCAGGCGTCCTTCATGCCTCCCAAACCGCACAGTGCCAGGCCGAACACCCCTCCATGAACAATACCAGGCCAAAATATTTTGGCTGCCGTTTAGTTCCAAAAAGCCCAAAGCCAAAAAATTTTGGACGGGCAATCTAAACGGGGCCTTACGCGAGCTGTCGCTTCACTGGGCGGAAGGGGAGCAGCAGCGGCGCTCTTTTCCCACAACGCGGTGAGCTCTCTTGTCCCATCGCCCCTTTCGGCCTTTCCTGAATCCCTAGAGCCAAGACCCAAGAAGGCAAGAGACGCAAGCTGTGATGTGTGTTAGAAACGATAGACAATATAAACGATGAAAAACAGTAGATCAAACATAGGGGACACGAGATTTTAACGTGAAAAACCCTTTCAAGGAAGAAGGGAAAAAACCACGGGCACCGGCCAGCAAATCTTCACTATATTGGGTGAGGTTACACACGTCGGGGATTTATAATTTTTCTTATCCCAAGACGACGGTTTACATGAGGTATATATAGAGATGGAAAACACTAATAGCGGCCCAAGACTCCCGGCGATGGGCCTCGCTTCGCTCTGGCAGAAATTAGCCTTTATCTTTTACATAACTGAATTTGGAACACATCTCTGTGGAGGTCGCCTCATTATTTCTAGATGGCCGTTTCAGGCTCCACTGTGAGTACAACAACTGAGGGCAGAATTTTTATTTTATAGTCTTTTAATTGAAGAGAGTATCCGGAGTATCAGGTGGCAAATTTTGCTTCAACTGCCTGTTCGCTGCATACAGATGCAGGCATACGGCTAGCAGGTCTTACACGCGGGTAACTGCCGAGCAGGAGTCAGGAGAACTAAACAAAATCGATCAATCCTCGGGTCTCATGCTCCAAGACCAAAGTTTGCAATTATGTTTTATCTTTTCATGTCCTAACATTGCTTCATGCTGAGTTGCTGACTGTGGTCTATCGGTCCATGGATGGCCATGGAAGGACACTGCTGTGGCATCGCAGACTTTTTCTTATGCCAATCTGGAATACCAGCTTTGTGCGTTGACATCTGGATGGCCAACGCAGGCTTAGACCTTCAAGATCTTCTCTAGTCCACTGAGGAACCCAAAACATGGTCGTACCGGAACGTTGTCAACGGGCCTCACCGGCCAAGCACGAGCCACCGCGGGCAAGGCAACCAGGAGATCAGCTTTGAAAAGTATCCAGTGACGGAGTAACACCCCGAGGCCAAGGCAAGTAGGCAGTCACTGACGTCGGACCCCACCCCACCACCGCACTGCCCCGCCGCAGTGGCTGACTTGGACCGCCACGCACGCCGATCCTCCACGCCACGCTGTCCATTTCCATTTCCATTTCCAGCTAATCGCTTCTCCCTCTCCGCGGCACTGACGACCAGTCACCAACGTACCACCTGCACCGAGTTGACCACTTACCTATATATACTTTCCTGCCTCCTCCCCCTCCCTCCATCCAAGTCCGAGCTCCATCGATCCCAGCACGACCGGAGCCACAGCCACCACGCCTACAGGATCTTCAGCGAGTCTGCAATGGACACGCCCTCGCCGCCGCCGTCGTCCGCGGAGCAAGGGGAGTACCGGACGGTGTGGTCGGCGCCGCCCAAGAAGCCGGCGGGGCGGACCAAGTTCCGGGAGACGCGGCACCCGGTGTTCCGCGGCGTGCGGCGCCGCGGCCAGGCGGGGGCGGGGCGGCTCGAGGCTCTGGCTCGGCACCTTCGCCACGCCCGAGCTGGCGGCGCGCGCGCACGACGCCGCCGCCATCGCGCTCACCGGCCGCGCCGCCTGCCTCAACTTCGCCGACTCCGCGTGGCTTCTCCCGCCGCTGATGCCCGCGGCGCTGGCCAGCGCGCGCGAGGTCAGGAACGCGGTCGCCGAGGCCATCGGGGCGTTCCGGCGGCGCTCGGAGGAGTCGGCGTCGCCAGCGGCGGAGACGACGGCAGACGAGGACGAGGAGGGCAGTGGCTCTGCTGGCGCAACGCCGTCGCTGGACGTCACGTTCGAGCTCGACGACATGTTCAGATTCGGCGGCATGGTTGACTCCGCATCGTACTACGAGAGCTTGGCGCAGGGGCTGCTCGTGGACGCGCCGGCCGCCGGCGGAGCGGGAGCGTGGTGGGAGGACGTCGAGCATGGCACTGCTGACATCGCACTGTGGAGCTACTAGCGCATTACCAACCTGCTTCTCACAAATTCCAGATGGTTTTGTTTCCCAATCGAGAGAAACAGTGCATCGGATAGTGAGGGATTTTACAATTTTAGAATCAGTATTGTGCTAGCTCTCTTGGTGCTCATGCTTCCTTTCTTATTTGGGGAAGCTAATTTGTATTTTTTTTTAGAAATAAAGAAGAATGCTCAGACATTTTCTAAAAATCTGGGGACTACTTCTGTTTGAAACACCGCGCAGCTGCACATATGCCTCAAGGACGCCCACATGAATAGGGCAGGGGAACAAAAAGGGGACGTTGCTCGCGTTGGAAACTAGAAAAGCGGTTGTTGCCCAAGTCTAATTGAATCCATCCTAAACCAAGCATGCTAATTAAGTTGGATTCAATTATTCAAACATGTCAGCTGTGTCCCGGTTCCAGAAAAAAGTACGTAGAACAGCTTGGTTTAGGATGGAACTGTTGGCGAACGACATTACCTAGGCTATTTGTTTCCCAAGTCTAGACGATTCTAAAATCTCAATAATTAATGCACAGGAGATAAATTACTTAAGTGTGGCACTAGCCGCAGGCTGCTGCTTGCGTCCGGCCGACCGCCCAGCTCCTGACCTCACAATAGACGATCTGGTTGCTCTTGCTGCTTCGGAGTACGTTGCGGCCACCCAAATTATGCCCACGCGAGATCAGACCATGATCCCCATAAAAACCCCTATAATAGCACGAGCATTGTAAGTTTGTATTCAAACATGCGTGCGTGCAGTTCCACGAAACAGTACTCAATCCATCCCAAATTTTAAGACGTTTGACTTTTTTACACCAAGTTTGACCACTCGTCTTATTTAAAAATTTGTGTAAAATATCACTTCTTTCGTCGTGGTTTGGTTTATTAATAAAAATCCTTCAAGAATGACTTAAATTTGATTATATTTGCATTTTTTTTTGAATAAGACGGGGCGTGTTCGGCTGGCTTTAAGCCGGCTGGCTGGCTGGCCAGCTAACTCACGGAATCACTATTCACGTCCTGCCATAACAGTATTTTTCTCTCACAACAATCAGTCAGAACAGTATTTTTCAGTCCTGCCGAACAGGCCCACGAGTGGTCAAACTTGGGATCAAAAAAGTCAAACGTCTTGCAATTTGGGATGGAGGGAGTACGCAGTACTTGATTTAGGGCGAACTGTTGGCGAACATTACCAGCGCAATGCTCCTATTAATTTAGCATTTGTTTGCAGAAAGGATTTGAAATGGTGCCAGAAACCTCCTCATTAATTTGTACTATATATATCTACCCAAACCTGCTTCATGTCATGAAGATTAGCATAATTAAAGTAGATCAGCTAAAGGCAAGATAAATTACGAGTCTAACTAGTTGTAAAATCTCAATGATGCAGGAGATAATTACCTCAATTACCATGCCTGTGGGCTGATTCGTCCTTGCATCCGGCCGGCTGCCCGGCTTCTCCCTTTGGTCGCAGATCTGGCTGCCCAAATTATGAAAAAGCAAGCTCACAACATAATCCCTGGCCCCAAGAAAACCCCAAAAGAAAGCAGGGAGGCAGGGTCTGGGACCCGGATCTGCGGCGGCGGCTGGCGGGGAGGCGGGCGACGGGGCGAGGAGCAGTTCTAGGGCCTGGTTTAGATTGCAAGTTTTTTCGCTCTCTCTTCATCACATCAAATCTTTGGACACATACATGGAGTATTAAATGTAGATAAAAAAATAACTAATTACACAATTTGATTGTAAATTACGAGACGAATCTTTTGAGTCTAGTTAGGCCATGATTGAATAATAATTGTCAAATACAAACAAAAATGCTACAGTACCTAATACTGATTCCTAACCCCAATCTAAACGAGACCTAGGGAGAGACGAGGGCGGCGACGAGCAGAATCCGTACCTGTGGCGGCGGGGAGACGAATCTACTAGCGTACACAGAGGGAGGCGCGCCCTGTGTGAAGCCGCAAAGCGTGGCGTGATGTGAAAGCGGAGGGCGCGGCGGCGGCACGCAGCTACGGACACGCCCAGCCGTCCTCCCGGCCACCACCCACCGTTGGACGTATCGCACCGTGCCCCACCATGGTGCACCATCCCAGCACACGTCATATCGCTTGCGTTCTGAGCGAAACATAATCACTCCCGCCGATAATGATCGTTCATGTTAAAATTTCCATACCCTACAAATGATGATCCGATCTCATCGGCATGTAATAATTGAGCTTGTTCGGATTCATGTGATCGACGCCACACTATTTTTTATATATAAGAAAAATGAGAAATACCCTTATTAGCGACTACGAGAACTTATAAAATGACTTGTTTTCCAAATAAATTAGTGACACCTGCTGTTGACCGCAAATCATAAATAATTTGGATTGCTGTATACTTGGCCATGCAGCACGAGGCACGACGGCACAACACGAAGCACGAAAAAAAGCCCAACACGAACCCGGCACGGCCCGATGAAACTCGGGCCCGGGCTGGCCCGGCCCGCTGCTCAGGCCGTGCTTGGGCTGACCCCCAAGCCGTGGGCCCAGCACGGCCCGCACGAAAAATGAGGGAGGCCTGACAGGCGGCTGAGGCAGCCAGCCCCCCCAACGGCTACCCGCCACCGCCAGCCCA